GTTGTAAAAATCCAACAATTTCTACCATTCGTCAAAGAATGTAGATATATAATATAATTATCTCATCACAATAAATTATGCTTTTATTAACATCATTATCATGAACCATCATCTCTACGTAACCGACATGCTAATTAAATCAATATTTTAGAGACGATATGATACTGAAACATCTATATTAAAATACTTCAATCATGAGAATATCAAATCAGTGATTTGCAAATATTCGAACCAATGTAAACCAAATATTGAAGCCAACGATTCTCTAAACCAACTCTAACCAATTTGAATAAGTGAATTACCAAACTAATTCAAAGCTAACGTTAAGAGTCTTTAGACTAATAAAATATAAATTGGTAATGATTGGCTATAATTAAATGATTAGTTACTGAGTATGAGTCGGTTTATAATTTAATAAAACATGATTCTAAAGACTTGATTTTTACGTATCTCGATGGAACTAGAGGACTTTGGAGATAATTCAGCGAATGAAGTTGGAAAAGGCATCGGAAAAGTCGGTTAGAGATTTCGACGGAAATCTCTCCAAATCAGTGATATCCATACAACCGATCGAACTAACAAAATAACCAAACCAACAAATGTCAAATTATGATATTCAAACTATAAAAGAAATCATGTTATCATTACAGATAAAGCAATCACGCATACAGCAAAAACAAATCCAATTATCATTTAAAAATAAATCTACACATCTCTCCAAGATAATAAGAATCATGAATTGATTTATGTATCAATTAYTATATATAACGATGCGTTAGAATTCATTAGTAAAAGCATGAGTCAAATTATTAAGCCAATTTAATTTGATCAACTCAACAGATTTTTCCATTAGAAATCAAATAACCAAATCGYTCAATATTCAAAAGAAAAACCATATGCAACTTCACCGTAAGGTCCGTACTTAACAAACCTAAATAATTATGGTCATGTTATATAATGAAATAATTAAGCGATCTATTGGTTGGAAGCATGTTAACATAAAAGTATGTCAAATTATATATTATATAAACTAAGACATTATTATGAGCATTTTATGAAGTCAAAGACGAAATAGTAATCTTATGAACATATCATTACATTCACTAATTCCTTGCGATCATGCTACTAAACAACTAAATAAGATTCTCAACCAGTCAATCAATTCACTGAATAAAGATCAGATCACATGTGTCAATTTTTATWTATATTATTTTACCATCAAAATTTAATTGACCATGTATCGATATAAAGCATGAAGGTTTAAAATACTTATCTCAACAAGGAAAAGCAAAGAACGGAGATCTAACGGGGAGATGGTGTTGAAATTAAAACAGCTTGCGTTTCTCAGCTGGCACAAAATCTCGTCTTTGATAAAGATATAATCAAAATCCTGCTCATGGAAACATAGCCTTTACGTTAGTATTTTTTTTTTTTTAATAATCTTTACCAATTAGATGCATTCAGTAAATCAYTTTCAGCAAATTAGATGCATCTAATATTCAAAATCTTGCTCATAAAACATGTGTCAATTTCAGTTTCAGTAAATCACTAAACCAGACAAATAACAGAGTCTTATAAACAACCAGACAGATTTTGTAGTGAAGGAATATAACATGGTTCTGAAAAACATGTGTCAGTCTTAATAAAATCATTATAATCGTAAGCGATCATATAAAATAATATGGTTCTAGTAAGAAAATTAGCTTGCACTTCTAGCTTGACAATTAACTAGCACGTGTATAAAGAACATATAACCTTGGTGAGACCATAATTAAATAATTATATCGAATCACTAAAATTAAAGCATGAGCCATTATAAAGCAAGTGACGATAATTCTGAATACAAGAGTATATATAGGGATACAAAACTTGGAAATGAAGTACAACTTGAGGAGAAAGTATAACTTGGAAAATAAGT